GGTTCACCTCACCATCGATGGCGACATGGGCTTTCCCAACTGGATGACACAGCACATCACCTACACTGTAGCGCGCACCTGGCACACGCAGTCGGCAGTCTATGCCATCGCAACGAGCTTCTTGGCAGCGGGCCTGTTTCTGGCTCCCGTGATTGGGGGCCGCAAAGAAGATCCACCACTGCAGACGCCTGCATTCAAAATGTTTTCGATGAAAGCTATGGTGCTTCTAGCATTTAGAAAATCCATCCTACGGGCAAAACCTAGGCAGCTCCATTTAAAGCCGACAAATCTCAGGAAGCCTCTATGTGACTTCCTCTTCCTTTGCCTGTTGGTGATCGTAGCAGGTTCCATGGCCGGGCAGGTGGCCGCCATCACTCAGAGTTTTGAAAGTTTGCTTATGAGCCAATATTTTGGTCACCAGGGCTATGAGTACGTGGAACTCGGACGTTTTTACCAGTACTTCCTCCTGGTTGGCTTGATTCTGTGGCTGCTGCTCATGCTGAATGCCATCCATCCCGCGTTACGCACGGCTAGCTTTGTGAGCGCTGATGCACGGGGCCGGTGGCACTTGGTGGTGATCATCACCTGTGCTGCGGTGTTGATCTCCTTCTTTTGGGCCTCTGGGCTGATGTATGATGCAAGATCCAACTTGGCTGTCATGGACTACTGGCGTTTCTGGATTGCGCCTGGGGTGTGAGCAAGGGTGGCAAGACTATGCAAGACGTTATTTTCTGTTGAATTTGTGTCCTTGTTGGGACATGGTCATCCCACCATCCACGAAACAAAGCCTTGTTGGCGGATGGTTGACACCTTACTCAACTCACCAAGCAAACCAGGTGCACATGTGGGTCGAGGGCATGTTCGAGGTCTTCATCACCGTCGTCATCGCGCAAGTCTTCGTGTTGTTGCGGGTCTTAGAACCGTCCGCAGCGGCAGGCGTTACACTCTTCACCAGTGGGGTGTTCTTGTTCGGAGGCATCCCGGGCATGTACCACCACAACTACTTTGCGGGTACCCCATCCATGATCATGGCGATCGGCTCCTGCTTTTCTTGTTTGGAGGTTTGCCCTTTAGCCTTGATGGGTATGGAGGCAAGTGAGTACATTCTGCTGGAAAAGGCCGCGAAGAGGCCCGAGAGCAGCTGGCTGATGAAATACAAACCGATCATCGATTGCTTCATTTACGTGGCCTTTTGGAACTTGGTTGGAGCCGGCTTCCTGGGCTTCATTATCAACCCGCCCATCTCCCAGTATTACATGATCGGCGGCTATCTCACACTCTCGCACAGTCACGGAGCCTTGTGGGGCGTCTACGGCGTTTTGGCCATTGCTCTTAGCTTACTGGTGCTGCGCCTGTCCGACCTCCAGGCAGACTGGGACACAACTTGGTTGGACGCTTGGTGCTATTCTGCTCGTTCAGCTGCTTCTTCAACGCGCGCGCGCGCGAAGTGGACCGGCGTGGGGAAAGTGAGACGGAATGGGTAGGAAGGATTAGACTTTTGCACATGTAGGTTTCCCGGCCCACTCCCATCATTGAGCGAAGCTCCTTGAGCTCAAGTCATTTCCGGAGTAAAGTAGAAGCAATTTTTCGATTGAAAAGGTCTCTTCTATTATGGGTATCTGTGAAATACAATCAAGAATCAAGAGCCTAAAGATTAGGGGAAGCCCCACCCCTGGGACCTAGGACAGGGGGCTCTACTTCATGAACCTGGGCATGGTTCTTCAGATCTTTCTCTCCATCTTCCCCATTGGCATCTACCAGTTCTGGCTCTCGGTGGCCAATGACTACTGGTACCTTGGGACTGAGACAGGCACAGTAGGTAGGCCGAGTTAGAGGTGGTTTCAGGTATTTCAGGGCGGGGAGTTGAAGGTGATGCTCAAGGTTTGCTCGGAGACATTGTACATTTCAGATGTCCCTGAATTTGGGCACCTGGCGCCTGGCACGATGCCTCCTTTCTTCATGCCGCATGCTGCTTCACGGATCAGGTACGCCCGTAGCGAGCACTTCCATGGAGACCCCGTCGTGCAGTGGCTGAAGCTGGGACGTGGCCTTGGAGATTCCATTTTCGCCTTTGCCATGCTCATGGTGCTCTATTTCGTGCTCCAGGACTTCCATGCAAATGTAGGCAGAGTATTGTTTACTGTATGTTTTCTGATGCCAAGGAGCCATACATATCACATGTTTCAGGGCCTGGGAAAGCTTGGTGCCGTCAAAAGCCACCACTGTCATGCGCTCCCAATTTAAAGCACCTTCTTCCAAAAAATTAGCAGCTGCCAGGGAAGGACTGACTCCTTCCGTCAGGACTTCCTCCGAAGGATCCAAAGCTGGAGGAGTGGCCAGGTGGCCGCCCTGGCAACGAAGCGCTGGCCGCCCCTCCTTGGCCAGGGGCGCTAGGCTGCTGTCCCGCCGCCCCTCCTCGTGCTGCGGGACGTGCGTTGCAGTGACCAGAGAGTGCAGTCTCGGAGCGTCGGAGGGCGGGCGCCAGTGGGGGCTAGTAGATAGCTCAGAATAGCTCGTACATTGAATGGTATATTGTCTAGCGGCGTTTTTGACCAGGGCCCCCGGTGCCAGGGGTGGTGAATGGACATCCCTTAAATTAACCGCTGGAGCTATAATTGGACACGCCTTAGGGATCTTAGGGGGCCCTGGTATGTGTATTTACATCTTTTGGGTAAGATTCGGTAGGATTTGCCGAGCCGGGTGGATGACCTGCTCAGCACAGCGTGTACAGCTGGGTGATTTCTGTGTTTCTTTTGGAGCCTGATGGATTCTGCTCAGCACAGGTTTAGTTTCCCGTGTTTCTTTTGGGTGCGCATTTTTGTCTGAAGGCAGGAGTACGGAGTGCCCTGCACGATGAGTGCCCACGTTCTGGGCCAGCGCAGCTGAAAAACTGACCGCCAGCTTGAACACCCCTTCTGAGTTTTTTCCTCAGCACAAGATGCAGAAAAGGGCAGGAAACCTCCGGAAACTACCAGGAGCCGCAAGGATTTGTTTTGCTCGATTCATGGTGTCGTAGTGGTGAACGATGTTCTCGAACTAGGCTGGTTTCGACCAACGATTGAAAGATCCAATAAGCGCAGCGAAGAATCTTTTGATTTTGATCCACACGTACTTCATATCAAGTACCTGATTTGCCTTTCCTTTCCAGAATAGGTGGTGCACGCCGGTCTTCTCTCCCCCCGAAGAGTGTAAATTATAATAAAGCTGTTTGTTTGAGAGTCTCAAGAGTGGCAGTCTTGAGTCACACAGGTCATCAGCTCCAGATCCTTCATCATCTTTCGGGTAGTTTTCTTTGGTCTCCAGGTGGGTAGAGCCGTTTTGCACCCCGGAATTTCAGAATGACTTGGATGTTTGCTGTTGAAACAGCGGTGGGGAGCTCCAGTGCTCCAAATTCTCCAAGTTCGATCATTTTGGTCAGTGAGACAAGCAGAATGTGGCCATGTGCACATAGTGTATGACTATATAGGTATATAACTAGAAACCCCACACTAGCAGTACGGCTGGAGTGTATGACTGGTCAAACTAGTCAGTTCCATATTATTAGTCCTATAGAGACTGGACAGCACGACAAACTCCCTACGGGTGACGGACAGGTGACGAACACTGGCAGCTGGAGGACTGCGATGATGAGGCAAAACCCCGCACAGGCCTGTGAGAAGGGCATCGTTTCTTAGGAGCTGCCCACTTTCCGGAACTAGAGGATTGATTTGCGTGGTTTCCCGTGTTTTTGCGGACATCGTGGCTGTTTCACAAGCAAACAATGATCAACAAACCACGTGTCACAGAGCTCGGGATGGTGTCGAGTCCCATCCGTTCGGGCCCCGAACGATGTGACGACGGGGCACGCCCGGTGCCTCCTCTCCTCTCCTCCGTTCGGGTGCCCGGCGCCCCGAGCCACCGGTGACTGCGATGGAAAGAGCGTCCCTGAGCGATGGACGTGTTCTTTGTTTTGCCCAGCTCTCCCCCCGTTCCGCCCCCCGAATCGGAGCCAAGTTAGCTGATGTTGGACGTGGCCGATGTCTGCGCACGTACGTCTTGCCGATGCGGTGCAGCAAGGCAACTGAAATGAACATGCCAGCATCTTCAAAAGGATCACCTGGCTGGAAGCCCCTACAACACTTGGGGATTTGCATCGGATACCCCCTTGAAGGTCCAAAAGCTAGCGATTGAAGCAACTCAAACCTTAAGTTGCCTTTGCATGCGGCTCCATTCTCGTGAAAATTGGATGAAGGTGCTGGTAGTGGCAACAAGTTTGACCTTGAACTATGCATAAATACATGCGCCTAAGTAAACAAGGTTCCGCTCATGCATGCAATGTGGCAGTGCGAGGTATATCAATATATACCGCCTTATACTTTAAGCCTTATACCGCCGTATGCTTTGTAGATGAGCTTACAAGACACCAGAAACGGAAGAAACACCAGACCCCAGAATCGGAACGCTTGAAGCCTAGCCCATGAAAAAGGTCCCCAACAACAGAACTGACCGGATGGCCGTGTGATGGCCGAACGGCACAGAGGGCCGAACTGACCGGAGGAAGAATTGGCGGATCGGCGGATGGCACAAGACCAAGAGCTCGGCCGAAGCGGCGGCCGAACTGACCTGTTTTGCGCTTGAAAGCCGCTGGCTGATCGCCACACCGAGTCCGTTTTCTCCTTGTCAGGCACCAACAAGGAGCTTTTGCCATATATTAATGTTGCATCCATTTCGCAAGTTGCCTGTTGTTGGTGTCATGGTGGATGAAGTGGCTGCGCAACTTTTGATCGCTTGTGAAAGCGCCTGTGGTCGCCCGTGTCAGATGAAATGCTGCAGGTTCCTGGCTTCCAAGTGTGCATAGGTGTGCTGATTTGCAGCTGAGACAGGGTCAGACATCGGCATTTATTATATATATAGGTGTGTGATTATAGGTGTGTGCCCTGTTTGTTTCAACATGTTTCAACATATCCATTCAACGATCATGAAGTGCACAAGGCCTTGGGATCGGATCAGCAGTTGTTGCCATGCCAAATTCATTCGGTGCGCCCTGCTCCCTGGCACTGGTCCTTTGCCTTTGTGTGGGTGCTTTGGGCGTCCGCCCTGTGACAGACACTGATGCGATCGAAGCGAAGCAGATGGAAGAGCATCCAATAGAGAAGACCAAGTCCGCGGAGGACAAGAACTCACACGCATTGCCTGAAGCGACACTGTGGCGTGAATTTGGCGCTGAGGAGCACCACGTTTTCAAGGCAAATGCGCTGGCTTTTCAAAACCTAGATCAGTCAGAGCAATGGCGCCTGTACGCATCATCCAATTGCAGCGCAGAGGAGGTGACATCCTTTTACATTACGATTTACATGAGCGACCGAGCTAATTTAGCAAAGGCACCGGTTCTTTATGTTGCCATTGTGACTTAACCTGACCGGGCATCAGAACTGAGTGGGCTAGAGAGCAAGGAAATCTCGTCACAACTGGAATGAGCTAGTCTCGGATTGTTGTGGCACCCTCCGACTCACTAACATAGAGGTGGAAAACTCTTTTTGATGGTAGATGATGGTAGAGAACATGTAAATAAATACATACCCATGGGCCATTTTCCACTTTCATGTGAGTCGGAATGTGCTTGTTTTCCACGAAGGTCAGACTGATCCTGTTCACCAGTCCAATGTGACACTCCATGTGGACAAGAACCTTCCCTGGGACACCGACATTCTCTACGCAGGGGCGCAAGGTCTTGGCCGCTGTTTGGTGTTCTTGCGGCGACCTCCTCCAGATGCACCAGTCATTGAGATGTTGAAGAAGTTGCCGCTCGGGAGAAATCGGTGATGCATTTGGGTGATCGAATAGGTTCCTGCCGCAGCCGCTACCCCTGATGTGGTGATTGGGTGGAGAGGTGTGTCCTCGGACTGCCACCTGCATTGAGTATGACCCTGCGGGGTCGTTCTAAGCCAAGCCAACAAAGCCTAACAAAACCTACAGATGTAGCATGACTTCACAAAGGGTTCATGAGTTCATGGATCAGAGGGGCAATCGATTCTACGCGGCTGCCAAGGCCAACAGTCTTCCAAGACAGAAGGCTACATGCATTTCTTGCTCTGCGCAAGGATGCCAGGATACACTTCGAGGTGGCCTTTGCTCTGGTCGTGCTGCTTGGTGCCGTCATACTCGTGTGGTCGCTCCGGATCACCGTGAAGGCATTGAAGGATCGTCGTCATAGCTGGGGCTTAACAGATGAGTCAGACTTCAGCCAGTCTCAACTTCGGCCTCCACAAGCCGCTGAGATTTTGAAGAGAGCTTTCGCCAATATTGTCTACTTCCTTCTGGGTTGCGCTCTTTTTGTGGTGGAAGGCCAGCGATTTTTTCGAAAGAACCTGGACGATAGCGGCACTGGCTACATCATGGTCCTGGTCTTTCCCCTGCTCTTTGGCTGTGCTGGTGTGCTTCGCATTTTTATGGCCGCAGCGCGCTCGCATTTGTACTTCTCCAGCTTGCGTCATGGCTTGCTCTTGGAGCTGCGCGTTGTCAAGCTCTCAGGCGAGCACACACAAACCACATTGCTCTATTTGCAAACTTCCGCCCGCCGCCGCCGGAGAGTAGTTTATGGAGGCTTCAACTAATTCGGTGCATCATAGACATCATCATCATCATCATCATCATCATCATCATCATCATCATCATCATCAT